CGCAGCGCCCGCATGTACATCTCCTCCGCCTCCGCCATCTTGCCTTGGTCCGCGTACAGAAGGCCGAGATTGTTGACCGTGTTCAGCGACGACGTGTGCTCCGCACCCCATGCCTTCTCGTACCCGCCCAGCGCCCGCAGTAACATCGCCTCAGCCTCCGCCATCTTGCCTTGCTTCGCATACAGTTTGCCGAGATTGTTGACCATGTCCAGCATCGACGTGTGCTCCGCGCCCCATGCCTTCTCGTACCCGCCCAGCGCGTGCAGTAACATCGCCTCCGCCTCCGCCAGCTTGCCTTGGCGCGCGTACAGAATGCCGAGATTGTTGGCCGTCTCCAGCGTCAACGTGTGGTCCGGCCCCCACGCCTTCTCCGTCCCGCGCAGCGCCCGCAGTAACATCGCCTCCGCCTCCGCCATCTTGCCTTGGTCCGCATACAGATTGCCGAGATTGTTGACCGTGTCCAGCGTCGACGTGTGCTCCGCGCCCCATGCCTTCTCGTACCCGCGCAGCGCCCGCAAATATAGATTCTCGACTTCTTTAGACTTTTCCCAATCGGACAGAAAGTATGCGATCTGATGACACTCGAGAGCTTGCTCCGCTTCATCCGATCGCCACGTTGCTACTCTCGTCCCGATCACTTTCGCATGTGCAGCTAGCCGAAGTCCCAAGTCTTTGGCCACTCCTCGACCTGCCGATTCTGCCATCCTGGCGACAAGTCTCAACGCCGTCGCCTGCAATTGTTGTGCTGTAGATCTGTCCAAGCTGTGCAGACACCATGCGTGCACTACCGGATGTATCGTGGGCGCTCGATCCGCGGTGCTCATGTTCACCATCGAGTATTGGACGAGAGTTCCAATCGAGTGCTGCAGGGAGAGCTTCGTTACTGGCCCGAAGACTGCATCTTCGCTCCGGCTGTGCTGTCCCTTGTCGCTCTGCCCGGTCAGCACCAGCTCCGCCCATACATCGCCGTGATAGAGGAACGCCCACAGATCAAGCAGCTGCGCTGCCAGTGGGTCCATACCCTTCACCTGTTCGTATGACATCGTCCACGTCGTAAGCACGCTCCGTTCGCCGTACTCCTGCAGTGGAAACTGATCTTGATTCTGCATCAGCGCCGTCCACGTCGTATCATAATGCTCGAGATAGTCCGTAACGCTCATCCCGGTTGTGCCGAGATATGCTCCTGCTTGAGCGAGCGCAAGGGGCAGACCGCCGAGCTTGGGCAGCAGTTGATTGATATCTGTGTGTTTGTGACGTTAGTGATTGTAATCGCTTGACGCCGCTGTCGCACGCACGTACTCGTCACCACTTTGTTTGCGCGTGTTTCGACCATCTCTTTCGCTAGCTCATCGTCGGCAGTATCTAAATGAAGGCTGGCATTTGGTCGTTGCAGTCGTCTCAGACGTGTCGAAATCAAGACGTTCCCGTGATGAGCGTGCGGTAGGAACTCGCGATAGTCGTATGCCTGATCGTCCTTCGTCTTGCCCTGCCAGTCGCGGTCGATGTTGTCAATCACCATCAGCCAGTTCGTATTGCCCGGGGACGACAACCATTGCCGAAAGTCGACGACCAATTGTGCGACGTCCATCTGTGCCGTCGTATCTTGCACACGGGTCGACAACTGAACACCTGCGCTCGCCATCGATCGCTGCAAGGCATCTCTCGACGACCCGTCCAGCCAGAACACCGCACTGAACCGCTCGGCATTCGTCTCCGCAAACTTGGCACACAGCTGCGTCTTCCCCATCCCGCCCGTGCCGTACACCACAAACACCCGCTGCTGTGCCGTCCGTGCCGATGTGATTGCGAAAAACTCGATGAGATGCTGCATCTCGAGCTTGCGGGGCACGAAGTATTCCGTCGTCGGGACACCTTGCAGGCTGAAAGGGACGGAGAACTCGCTAGGTACTGCTTCACCTTTGCGCTTTGCAATTTTGTGTAGCAGTCGCTCTCTTGTCTTGTCCTTGCCGTCGCCGTAACGGATGTTCATGCTGACTCCCATGATACCAAGCAGACAATACGACAGATCCTCTGCCCGCATCGTCTCCCTGCCATCTGTCCATTTCATCTTCTCTCCGGCGGTCAGGTTGTCGCCTGCTCGGTAATCGTGTAAAATCGCGAGTGGAATAGCAGTCGCACGCGAAATCAGGTCTTCCAGCGATGGGCCAGTCTGTTTCGACATTCCGCTTCGCCCGCGGCCGTTATTGCCCTTGTGGCCGATCACATTCCAGTCGTTTGAGAGAAAGATCACAACGCCCGGCGCCAGCAGCTCTTGCAGCGTCCACCCGCGCCGAAACCATACGCTCTGCTCGAAGGTCGCTATATCCCTCACGGTGGGAACATCCTCCAAGTATGCTAGACACACCTCCGCGTCGCGATACCACTGGAACATTGAGTTGATCGCTTCCGACAGCTCGCGATCGCTCTGCTGCTTGATGCAGCATGTATCCACCCACAGCCACTTCACCAATGGCAGGTGTGTCCTCATGTATGCCACAAACCCTTGCACCTTGCGATACCCAGCTGTGTCCGTCTTCTTCCTCTCGTGCACATCCTCCCACATCGCCTCGGCGCCCGCCGTCCAGCGATGCGATGCGATCGCATACGGCGGGGGCGTGGTCCCGAAGTACTCGGTGAAGCAGAACGTGTCGACGTTGAGGAGCCGCATTCCGATGATAGGATTGCGATGATACTCATCGGAGAGAGATTGCTGGGAGATAAGTAGAGATGCGACAAGATGTCATCTCTGACCTGTCGGATGTCCACGATGCAGCGTCACATCCCGGCCGCCATCTAGTCGCCTGCAGCTGCATGGTGGCGCAGCCCACACGCGAGGCCTCCCAGGAGCACTAGTAATTGCTCAGACATATTTGGGCCTCGGGGATGAGTCCGCCAAGGACAGAGCAAAACGCATTGCCAGGAAGAAATGTCGTAGTTACGTTGGAGAGGCTCAGAAGCTGTGTGGAAAGGTGGACGGAGCGCTCGCAGAGCGTTCCCACCAGCCATCCTTGGATGGATTAGAGAACCGTGCACGTCGGGATTGTCTCAAGCAGCAACTAGTCGGAGATCCTCGCCAGCGAGCCAACGCAGATCTAGCCAAGCAATGATGTAAGATGATGTTCCTAGGTAAGTTTAACTTCAATTTATCATTCTTGTATCGCGTTGTTACAAACTATATGAGGAATGCCGGTGATTGGACGTACATACGCAGAATGCGAACCGAAATGGACTGACTATACAGACGGAACAACCAGCGCTGTAGACCACAGTGGTTTTAGAACCCTCAGTGTGGATCGGTGTGGTTAGCCAGATTACGGAGGCGCATAGCATGGTTCTTTGGGAGTTCTCGGCCGCCAGCATGACTCAGCAACTGAGATTCGAAAACGATATTCGAACGTCGACGGCGGCAGCGCTCGGGATCGTGCGACCTAGGTCTAATTGAGATAAAACCAAGGACAGCTGTAAAATTACCTCTGAGCGACCGATGAAGACTGGCGAGCGTGCGGACTGATCCGTATTGTGCCCGTACGAAGCGGTCGACCGGAGAGGTTGGATTTCGCACGCGGACGGAACCGACGACAGCGTCTGCGAGATGAACCCAATTCGAAATTGGAGCGGCAGACGAATGGATGGTAGCTCGATCTATATCCCAGATATGCTGGAGCGCGTTGACACAGGTGTTGCAGAATGTTATAGATGAAAGTGTCCAATGCTGGCTCGTTACAGAGGGTGGCTCGCGACGCTGGGAGGGACGTTACTTACCTGAATGACCGGCATTGTAGACCGCAGTGGTTTTCGGTTCCTCCGATGTGGACGGGTGGGCTTGGATAGATTACGGAGGCGCATAGCATGGTTCGTCGGCAGTTCTCGGCCACTTGCCTGACTCAGCAATAAAGATTTGAGAACGATGTCATGAATGTCGACGGCGGCAGCGCTCGGGATCGCGTAACACAGCTATGAATGGAACAAGATTCATAACAGAGATAGAGTGGACGCCGAGCCGTCTGTCTGGAATTTCAAATCTGCATTTTGATGGGAATCACGTCGACATATCACGATCAGCCAGGAGGCTCGAATTTCGTACGAGAACGGAATCGATTAAGTTATATGTATAAACCATTGATGCTATCACGTGCCTTGCTCCGGAGGTGCCATTACGACCAATGGCCACATGAAAATGTTTAGAGGTTAAAGTTTCTGATACCCATATAAGACACCATAATCGGCTGTCTATCAGCCATTTTTGATTGAAACCAGTAAATGTTAAATACAACCGATCACTTGTGCATGGTCAAGACAGAACCTCCCAGGCTTTACCATAGACTTCCGTCTGATATCGACGTATCTTTTCCAGGTCAGGAATTTTGGATTCGACTACCCAATACTCTCGCAGGTGAACCCGGAATTCCCGCTCTACGCCTGTGTTCCTCTCTGCAGAGATGTATGTTATCTCGCGATAGGGTGAGATCGGAGTGGGCGCGAAGACAATGCGATCAGTGGAAGACGTGATGATGTTGAGATCCTCGCCCCGAGATTTCTTGCGAGGCCGCGCTGCAAATGAGTCAGATCAGTCGACCGCAAGTGTGAATGCACGTACGTGAAGGTTCATTGTCGGATGATGGATGCTTGCGAGGCAAAAAAGGGCTGGGCACTTCGGACTCTTCTTTCTTGATCTTTGGCTCGGGTGCTGAATTTATGAAGTTCATCAGAAGTCGCGCCTGGTCAGCCGTCATGGCCGGCGAGCTCGTGGATGAGGCTCGTGGCTCGTTTGTAGTCATCATGTTCGGGCAATAGATATCATCGTCAGAATCGACCCGAATCTCGGGGGTGCTCAAAAGCGACGAGAGGTCCACTATCTCTGGAGTACTTGGTTCCATGTCGCTGGGGGACGTTGTCGAGTTATGCTCGCTAACAATTTCATTCAGCGCAGGAAAGGCCATATTGAAAGACCCAAAGGGGAAGGGGGTCAGAGGATATTTGGTATGCGGCATAGCTGAGCTCATTGAACAGTTGGGATGCTACGCTCCTGCGGTGGTATATTATATCTTGAAGAAGCTGTATTCGATGAATTGTTCTGGTACGAGGGCCATATTCTGGATCGCCGTTCGGGAGTTCGATGACAGATGCCAGTATCTCGGATCTCGTCTTGACAACGTCATACAGCGGTACCGCGCGCCCCTCGTGAGCGCATATATCTCACAGGTGTGCAAAAGTTTGATCGATGGATGAGGGGTACATTTACGATCTCAAAACACGAAATGAGCCTTCCTTCTGAGCGAAACGCAGCACGAAAGGCGCTTAGCAAGAGAATGCTTGACAAAATCGTAGGGTCCATCCTTTTGCAACCTCATTTCTTGACCACAAGCTGATCCCAAGCAGAACCATGCATGCCGGCGACGACGGGCGATAACTCATAGCCCTTCAATGAGTTCGCATGCAGGCACATATCAGGCTGAGCCCGTACACAACGATGATGCTTCGATTTCGACGAGGCAGCATGCTACGCAGGAGTACCTGTACTACCCGCTTGCTCAGCGGCATGCGGAGACAGGTTTCTCTGTTTTCAGGGAGTGTCTGGGCGCCAACCAGTTCCATGCGCTTCCAGAGGGTACCTTGCTACGATTCTCCAGAGATGATATTAGTTTTGAACGTCCAGTGTATCGTAGCTCTTAGTTCAATTGAAGCACGGGCGAGGGACTCATCCGTCCAATAGATGAACATCGCACTCTTCGAGGATTGACCAAGCGCATAAGCTGCTTATGTCACGAGAATGTCGTGCCAAGCTAGCTTCCATCTGCATGGTGAGATACCGTGTGATGGCTATCTCGTTCGTGTGCACGTTAGTGCTTTCGTCGTATGGGAAGGCCCAGAGTCAGGATCTCGTCCGTGTACGCTCGGTAACTCCGGGGTCGTGAACGCAGATCCGGGATATGCGTCCATCATATGGCATCGCACACAAGCGTGAAGATACATATATCCTGACAACATTGTTGCACAGTCCCGGGCCATCATTCTATCCTCTCCAATTCAATTGGATGCAATTCGATTCTTCACACCCTACGCAATGTCCAAACGCAAAGTCATGGCACATGTAAGCTCTCACTGGGCTCGGCTTCGCAACAAATACTCACAGAGGCGGACAGGCTTGCGCATCTTGCAAATCTCGCAGAGTCAAATGTGTTCAGACGTCTGACGACGTATGTCGACGCTGCCGAAGGCTGGAAATCGTCTGCTCTCATTCGCAGCCAAGTGGCACAGACAATCGCCGACGCAGCGCAGTCAAGCCTGAGTCAACATTGTCCAACACTGAAGACACCGTGCCAACTATAGAAAACCGCAGCATTTGCGTCTTGCCGGACATTACCATCAAGCTAGAGCAACTCGACAGAATGATCGAAACGTCTCGTCAGCATGGTGTTCGACCCGACGAGGTGATCGATCGACTTGAGCGCGATATTCAATCGGCGCTGCAGCTATGCCGACAACGTGTGCGCGACCCGACCGACGATCCATCATTTTACAATGTCGACCATCCCCGGCGGTCTGTAAACACCTTCCGATGGATGCAGACCCCCAATTTCATGTTGATCGGTCCGAATTGGGAGATATGCCATTTCAGTGCGGAAGTGCCTGCCGTCGTGAAGAACTTTCCTTGGGCGCAATATGGCCCTCCGGGGACGATCAATGCTTTTGGCCCGGAATTGAACAGAGTCCATTAGCATGTAACTACAGTAATATAGATATCTCGTATGCTCGATGCTTTCATTTTATGATGTGATTTACTTGTGAGAAGAAACGGCGGTTATGCCACTGTCTGATGAAGCTGTCATCGATACAGTACTCTACATACATCATTAATCCCATGATAGACCCTCGATGGGCCCGGAGCAGGGTGTTCCTGTAGGCTACGCAATTTTCGGGGCGACGTTCACGTGCCAAGGGGCACGCCTGGGCATTAACCCCCATCCCTGCCTGACGGAACACCTGCGTGCCGGAACACAGAAGCCGACCTCTCACACTTTCTGGCAGAATATTTTTCTTCACAGACGAGCAAATATTTTGCAGTTGGTGGGAACACGTTCTCCATGTCAACTTCTATTATGCCACTTGTTCTCATGTCCTCGGAGTGTCAGCTCCATGTGATATCGAATGATCACGGCGGCTGCTCCATCGGCGTACAGTAAGCGACAGAGCAGTCTCCGCCTTTTCGTGTCGGCACGACAGTAATGAGCGATGGTTAGATGCCAAATGATGGATCTATCTCAGGTCATGCGGCACTTCATAATTTGATTCAAACGATATCAAGGAGTGTTCATGATTTTGCAAGGATGTTCCATGATTCTGTCCATCAATGCCAAGACTTTGAGCCATGCAGGCTCAACGATCACCTCCGCATTAGCCGACACATCACACCACGGGCCCGCAGATCATGCGAGTCATGCTATAAGCTGAGAGATCACGTGATTCCGGCAACCTTCGCGACAGTCCTATTGTTCCTCAAATTTTGGACAATATTGCTGGCGGAGACGTAGAGAAGTGATGCCTGAAGCAAAATGGACTTTTACATACGCACTCATCTAGCACCGTTTTGCATACATGCGCCAAATGTCTCAATCCCATCATCGAGCAAGTCGGCCTGCGAGTGTACAAAATGAGCACGTCTCTGATAAGGAGAGATGACCGCGAGCATGTCGGACTCGCGCATTACATCCGTTACTAATACCGAAAGTCCATCGTGAAGTCATGCCCAGCATGCACGACCTCCACGTCACGAAAACAGCGGAAACATAGGTCGTAGCCAGGTTCACATGTCTGGCAGTGGTGTTGGTATTGAACGAGTTCCTGTATCAGGTTAGCATTACATCCGAAGCGGTTCCACGATAGATGTCTGCTTACATGTCTACAAACGTCGCAATCTCCTCGTATACGCCTGCCTGGCGAAACGTCTGAAGAAGTTTCCGCATCCTCGGTACGCAGTATAGGAACATCATGGCCGACAAACACCGCAACATCGTAGGCATTCCATCCTTGCCAATCACGCTTCGTGGAGTCGGCGCCGTTTCGTAGCAGTAGGCCGATGACTGCAGTCTGTCCAAAGTACGCCGCCCAGTGTAGTGCAGTCCATCGGTGGTTATCTACTGCGTCGATGCCAGCAGACATGCTCGCTACATCCTGCGCAAGACCAGTAATATAGCCGTAACATGCAGCCTGAAGCAGGCGTGAGCGCCCGAGTAAATCCCGCTGGACGTGGGAGTAGTCGAATCCGCATTTCAGAAGTAAGTCTGTGACATCACGATGTTCTGCAGCAAGGGCCGCGAAGAAAGCGTTGCCATACTTGCCTCCCTGCGCGTGAATGTCGGCGCCCTTGTCAAGCAGCAGCCGGACGACCTCTGCCTGACCGCGCCATGATGCAGCCGCGAGGGCGTTGCCGT